TAAACAAACGTTGCCTATATAGTTATTGTCTTTAGAATTTTTTTCTGGGGAAAAAGAAGAATGCATACTGTTAAGGGTTTTAAGTCTGTTGGAGGTGACGGAGTTGATGAGGTGCGGTGGATATGAGTTGTTAATTAAAGTTGTGCGGATGAGGGATAAGTTAGAGGGCCAAAATTGTTTGTCTGAGAGTAGGATGGCATGGTCGACTAAATTAATAATAGTGCCTATCTTCATGCTAGAAGGGTGGTAAGAATGATAATTTAAATACCTACCCGACCAAGTAGGTTTTTGGAACCAATTGGTGATAATTCGATTGTCTGCGGTTTTTATAATTTTTACGTCTAAAAAGCTGATAGAATTTTCTTGTTCTTTTTCAAACGTAAAGGAGAGATGCTCATTAAATGAGTTAAAACTATGAAGTAAGAGTTCGAAATTTTTAACAGGAACACAAGTAAGGATGTCATCAACATATCTGTAATAAAAATGAAGGTCTAGATTGTAGGAATTAAAAACTTTCAACTCTAAGTGTTGTAAAGCAATTTCTGCGAGTGAAGGGGAAATAGGAGAACCCATAGGTGTGCCAAATATTTGAAGGTAAAAATGGTCGTTGAATTCGAAATAAGTATTCGAAACTATGAATTTTATGGACTCGAGAAACCAATGCAGTGATAATGTTGTATGACAAGAGATTTCGTCCCATCTAGCAGTGATGGCATCTAAAATTAATTGTAGGGGGACGTTTGTGAATAGGGATACTACGTCAAGACTAACCAATAAGGAGTTATCAGGACCAATTTACCAATTTACCAATCCACATATATTATAATTACCTAGATATGCTAATTTTCATACTGTTTTTAGATCCACTGATGATGACATTAAATTGAATGTCGAAACGTTTGGAAATAAAGATTATTTTATAAATCTTTGGCTTTTCTTTGTTTGATGTATCGCCCTCAAGAACTCACTCATATATTTCAACATCAAAATTAACTACTAAATCATATATATATATATATATATATATACACATATATACATAGTTCGTGATGGTGAATCGTCCTATATTGTGTAAAGAGGCTTTCTCGGTTTAAACCCACTCTTCGAACGACCAAACAAGAATTTTTACTCAAGAGTAAGGTGTAACTATATTATGTCAATTTTAATTATATATAGAGTAAAGAAGGGCACAAAGGTTCAATTTGACTGTGAGCAATTATATTGTGAAAACCAAACCAATTATAGCACAACAAATAACATATATCAAATAAATAACTACCTAATTATTTTCAGTAAAACTCCCAACTAATTCATCATTGTAGAAATGTATTTTTTACTCAAAAATTTGTTATTTTTACCCAATAGGGGAAGTAAAATGGGACGGCCGGAAGGCAAACAGATCCAATGTCTCATTTCTAGTTTTAAATGTATTAAAGAAAAAATTAGCTATAATATTCAACCAATGCAAAATATAAATTTCATGGATTCATTTTTTACAGACATAAAACTGTATATAACCTTGATCTGGTATTTTATCAAAAATATTCATCAGCAGATTTGAAATAAGTAATTATTTGATTTATATTCCATAAAATTGCTTTTTTTTATCTTAATTTACTTTTTATTCACTATTTTTTATTGCTAACACTTTTGCCACGGTGAAGATTCAGTCGGTTCTTTATACCCCACCCACGTGTAAGCTTCTATATAGGTTATATAATAAAAGCTATTGGATTTTACTTTAAATTAACAATACATCTCATATAACAATTTAATAACGTAAAAATTATTTTAAGGTCTCGTAAACTAAATAACAGTGCTCACAATTACAAAAACTAACACCGAAAGCAAATACTTTTAAATTTTCAAACATCGCCGTTTATCTCCTAATAGCAACGTCGTAAAAAACAAGATGTTTGCTGGTTATACATTTTTTCCCTCTACTTTCAAATATTTTGTTGAAAAATTCTTAACTTCACTTCTTTACACCAGATATCGGTAATGATGGACCTTTTTATCCGCGGAACATTAAGTCTCGCTCTTTCTTGTAAGTATAATATATGTATATATATCAAATTAGGTTCCGGTGGCTTTCGTGTTTCTGCAAATATAAATAATACAATCATAGCCTCATCACGGCAAAAATTAAATTAATCGGTGGTACTACGACGTCTATCTGAACTAAACATTACTGCTCATAGTCACGACGATCATATTAACTTCCCGAGGGGAACATACTAAAATATCACTGGTCTACAATAAGTAGTTCAATTTTCAAAAATTATTACAATTTGGAATGATGGCAAATGCTTTTATGATGTAAGCCTAAGTTATAACCCTTTTTGAGTTTTTTTTTTTCAAAAACTATTAATTTTGTGTGACGTTCGCCAAAGCTAAAAAGAAGACCATTTTTAGAATTAGCAGCAAACTGCAAAATATTTTCATTCCATGTTTTTGCAAAAACAATCCTGATTTTTTTTTTTTTTTGAAAAATCTTTGGAAATTTATTAGTTGGAATATTATTGACTAGTTTTTGCCAACTATCGTAAGAGTCGTTTTTCGTAATTGTTTTTTTATTTGACATGCAGGTTTGTTTTTTCTGAACATACCAGTTTGTTTGAAAGATATCAATTGGAAACGGCATATATTATATTTTAGTTAAAGCGAAAATTTTAATTTTGAAATAGCAGTTAAAAATGTTACATAAATATTTTATTCAAGTTTACATATAGGAAAGTTTTTAGATTAACTACTTACATCTAGTTTTAGTTTAATTTTTGTTATTTTAATTAGTTTATTCGTGTGTCTCTATATACTTTTGCTTGGTATAATCTTGTTAGCTAAAATAAAATGAAGTTTGTTATTGTCAATTATGATTATATTCAAATGATTATATTTATACTTAAATAGCTAATCATGATATTTTATATAGTAACTAATAACGTGGTGTAAACGTTTTTTTATTTGCTTAATAATTTATATAATTGTTACTTTGTCCAATTTATTGCTACCATTGTCACATTGTGTTATTGAAATGCTTATTCAAATATGATTACATTGCCGCGCTTCAAGACATTCATGCATTTTGTAGATTTTCTCTCATATTTTACTATGTCCAAGAGATATTCTCATAATTAAATTATTCCTGAAATTAAATTGCATTTCTGTGGGTTTTGCATAGAGAGGGTTTGTTTGAATATTCACAGATAGATGGATAACTTTATAATTCACGTGAATTGTCTTGAAATGGGATATATTAATTAATTATACATTTAGCAGAACAGAACTCAAAGTAATTTAGGTAATAAATCAATAATTTTCTTGCACTAAGAGCTACTCTTAAAGAAAATAGAAAAATAGGAAAATATTAAAAATGTTTTGTAATATTTTTCTATTACTAGCTTTCTTATACTACTAATTTTCTTAACTTTCCATACATTACTTAATTCTACTTAGTAGCCTATTTTATAAAGTATATTCATATTATTATTTACATATAGGGTAGAGTAGGGCACAAAGGTCGAATTCGACTTTGAGCAATTATATTGTGAAAACCAAACTAATTATATCACAACAAATGGCACATAACAAACGAAAAACTATCTTTCTATGTTCAGTAAAACCCCCAGCTAATTCATTATTGTAGAAATGTCTTTTTTGCTGTTTTTTTTTAAATGTCACCTGGTCTTTTTACCCCATAGGCGAGGTAAAATGGGATGACCAGGAGGCTCTAGTGTTCAAATTTTACATTAAAGGGATTTTATGAAATAATAGGTACAATATTTAATAGTGTAAAATACAAATTTCATGGGTAGATTGTTTGCAGAGATAACACTGTATATAACCTTCATCTAGTATTTCGTCAAAAATATTCATCAGCAGAGTTGGAATAACTGTTTATTTAATTCATTTCTTGTAAAAGTGCTTTTAATAACGCAAATTATTTTTTATTAATATTCTTTATTGTTTAAATCTTTCTCAGGGTGAAGGTTTAGTTGGTTCTTTTTACCCCACTCACGTGTAACCTTTTCTAGAGGTTATATAAAAGAAACTGTTGAATCAAACCTAAAATTAACAATACATCTTACAAATTATTTAAATATCGTGTATTTCAAAATTATATTATGGTCTAGCAAACTAAACAACATTACTCACTACTGAAAAATACTTACAACGAAGGAAAATACTTTTGCTATGGATATTCAAATATTGCCGTTTATCTCCCGATAACGTTGTAGGCATCAAGGTGATGGCTGATTATACATCTTTTTTCCTAAAAACTAAAAAACTCCTACTTTGGGGCCGCTCAAGTATTACGTAAGCACTATAGGGGGGCGGGGGGTTATTGATTTGCTTATTTTTGGTAAGAAATTTGCTTACTTTTGCTGACAAAGGAGAGGGGGGGGGGTAAATAATTGTAATAAATCCGCTTACGTAATACTTGAACGATCCCTTTTACGTGTTTTGAGATATCGATGATGGACCTTTTTACCCGCGGACCTTTAAGCCCCGCTTTCCATATAATAAAAATATATAGAAGTTAACACATTACCATGTTTTCTATATCTTATTTTGCCTTTTGTGAACTCTGTAATAAGTTTCCATTTACATTTGATATCAGAGTCAGATTTTCCATTGCTACCTACAATCAGATTATTTATTTTTAGCCATTATTTTGCTCTGTTTCATTCGTGAATTACGTCAATATCCACTCGTGCATGTATAACGACATTGCCTCAGAAGTCCGATAGTGAAATGACTGCTTTCCTTTGCCCCACGGATATTTATGCCGTAATTATTTGGTAATAAACTGTTTGTTGATTTAAACCGTTTGATTTTATCGTTATTTTCTTGAAATCGTTAAATTATTGCAGGGTATAAAGGAGTACATGATAAATTGCAATTGTGATTAAAATTGATTTGATTTTTGATTTTATATAGAAATTTCAGTTGCGATGACTTTGTTTAATAATTTTTTTTTATTGTTTCAGATCTGCGTATATGGAAACGAACAACTGAAGAGGTTATGAGCACGGTAAGAAATTTCAATTATATATTTTGAACCAGATATATATATATATATATATATATATATATATATTCATATTCATAAAAAATGCTTCGACTGATCATTACATAAGACTAATCAACGCGATTTATTAGGAAGCGTCCATTAATCACATGAGCAATTTCTAAAGAATTTAGACCACTCTCTCTCTCTTGGCGATGCCTGGTGATATTTAATGCCCTTTACACATCACGTGTATTTAAAAAGACTTAGAAAATATCGTAAAATCTTGGATTTTTAAATATTTTTTTTTAAATTGAGGTAAAACTAGTGTGGTGTATGGCATCGTGCCTTAAGGCAAATTGTTGGAACTTCCCGTACCGTAACGAAATGATCGAGGAATATTAAATGTTTTAAAATAGATTATTATAAATATTGTAACATTGTCGAATATTTATAAGAATTATATAAACTAAATTGGAATTTAATTATTTTCGATATACAAAAAAAAATTTTTGAAAAAAAAATTTTGAAGCAAATTTTTTTTTTCAAAATCAATTATTTTGTTAAAACAAGCAGAAAGTTTTTGGAATCATTCAAATCGGACGCTTAATTCTCTCAAAAACTGAATTTTTTGCACATTTAGCTACGGGAAGTTGAAAAATACACGTGATATTTTACTAGATTTTTCCCTCCCCCGCGTGATATTAGGTTATTTTTTGTCAAACCCTCCTCTCCCTTTAGAGCTCACGTGATTCATGAACGGCTTCTTGAGTGTTTTGATATGCACTTTGTGTTTTTTTTAGTTCTTACCCGAAAGTAGATAGATGGCAAAATTATCGTCGAAATTCTAAGGGTCAACATAATATCTGATTATCGATTTAAATTCTTTGGTCAAAACATCGATTTTCATTTCTGAAAGTAAAAAATCTGTTACAATAATAAATTTATTCATCTTAACGAAGTGTTTTTTTTTTCAGTAATTATTTTATTTCCAATCCCATTGTATCTCAATAATTCTGTTACGCTACTTTAAAGTATACTAATAAAGAATACAAACGCTCGCAAATCTTTAAAAACAAAGACAAAAAACGCACTGGGAACCGAATCACGTCACGGAACATGGCACGCGCCAAAATCTAAAAGACATTCCGGAGAATCAACGACGATAAAGTCGCATCTTAACAACGGGAAACCCTTAACACGGACGTTTCCTCGTAACGTAATGGAGCTATAAGAGCGACAGTAAAACAGCCCGTTTGGACCGTCGTTGATAAATAAAAACTACCCCGATAATATGTCTCGTTTTGGAATTATCCTACAAACAATCGTCTTCGAGAGTGAGGGTCGGGGCAGCGTTGCGTTCGGTCGCGGCTCGTCGGCTCTACGACTCTCAGGAGGACGCACGAAACGTCCCAGCGAACAAGGTTCCCAACAAGCTATATCACGATGGCCGTTTTAGGGGTTAAACACACACTGAAACAACGAAAAAAAACGGGGTGACACAAGATGATTTTATCGGATACATGTCACTGATTTTTTTATTTGAAGGACGAACTGAGAAACAGTTTTATTGATACATAAATGACATAATTCTGGTATTTTGTTTACATGCTTATTAAGCGTTATCTCATGGCATTTTTAAATAGCACAATACGTCAGAATTGAGCATTACTTATTTGAATATTAATAGGCTTCCATAGTGATAACGTACTAACATTTTCAAAAATTCTTTATATTTTGCATATTAAAGATTTTTATCGAAACATACTGGACGTAATTAAGACACTTAATTTTATATTTTATATATAATTATATATTTGTGTGTGTGTTTTGAATATTTTTTTACAAATTTTCAGCAATACCACCATTTTTACGACTATAGTATTAAGGTGACCATACGTCTTATTTAGATCTTTTGTCTCGGATTGTCTCGGGTTTTCGAAAAGTATAGGCCTAAATTGAAATTATGCTCTTACTTGATAATAAAATTACAACTACCCATCAAATAGTATACGTATATGAAACATAAATGAGAAAATTGCCGTATTCAAAATTCCAAAGGCGGGCTAAATAGTCTTTCATATCAATAATTTGGAACTTTGATTTTCAATTTTACGAAAAAAATATGAAAATGCACTTTGACACTCTTGGAATAAGTTTTTTTAATAATTATGAAAAAATATGAACAAAATTTTATAACAGTTCAAAAATTGAAAAAACATATTTATAGATCCAAAAATATTAGATAAAATAACATCCGTTATTTTCCACAGCCTAATATAAGATTATATATAACATATGTAATAAAATAAATAAAAATAAAGTTCTTAGTTTAAATTACAAAATGATTCGCTTAAAAAAGACAAATTTCTAATTATTATTTTCGAATCATATTAAATTTTTTGACATAGACACCCCTCTCCCGTCCTGGATTTACATTACAAAAAATTACCGTCCTGGTTTGGACTTGAGAAAATATGGTCACCTTAATAGTATACATTTTGATGACCACAAATTTTGATTTAAGATTTCTCTATTTGTTATAAAATTCCAGTCCAACTATCTAATGACGTCGCAAAAATACAAAACTATTACTAAATTAAACAGACAGATAAGAGATTAATAGAAGAAAGACGCGCAAAAATACATTTGGCAATTAATTACCCCCTATTTGCAATTTCTAAGAAAAATAGTTTCATAGTTAACATGCAATGTAGAGACATATATTATGTATTGCTTATCGATTTGTTTCAAATAGATCAATTATTCCTAGTAAAATATATGCAATGAGTTAATAATTATAAATATTCCTACAATATTAACATGAATTTCCAACTATTCAAATATGAAACTAAGTTAATAAAAAACAAATTATACACTGACGTGATATGAACCCGATCATTTTTAACTCTTATCTGTGAATCCGATTGCAAAAAGTATGAGACAACTTTAACTGATAGAGCTACCAAGCCATATATGGAACGATGTTGGCGTACATCTTGCGCGCGGTCTATTTTTCAAAACTTCAACTTAAATTAATTTTTATAATCAAACCACTTCTCGTATGCCTGTAATATATTAAGACCTTTGGTATGACTGTCATCCCTTTCTATTTCTATCACCATGCGAAGTTTCATCAAAATTCTAGAAGAGTAACCTTGAGGTTCTCCTTGTGAGTACCGCATAATTTCAGTGTATAACCATTTATGATACATAATGATCACCTATACTTTTAATATATAAGTATATAATATTGTTTATACACAAATTTAAAAATTAAAAGTTAAAATATATTCTTACTAATTCATAGAAATTAGTCGTTCCAATATTCGTGTATGCGCATACATCGATAATTTACAGGTGCATATTGGCGTGCTGGATGCATAGCATGTGCGCGACTTACGGAACGCTAGATCGCGTGTGCAATGCGGAGAAACGCATCGCATGCGGCGAGAGAAAGGGTGCCTATGAATTAGTATCGTAGCCGTTTACTAAACCGATGCCAAGGTGCCCCATGATTTTAGGAAAAGAATTATGTTGTACGGATTCATGATATGTGAGAAAGGGTTTTGTGCACTTCTATAAATAAAGCGAATGCGTAGGGTATTTTCGATAGTTTATGTTCTCATTATATTAATTTATTATCGTGATTTATATCTTTACAAATTATTTTGTATAATTGTGAAATAGTCTTGAACGTAAATATATCTTGAACTCAACATTATATGTGTTTACGTAGGCGAGTTAGGGCCTTGGTAACAGTTATTTTTATTAATTAATATATCGATATTGAGATTCACTGATTATATTACTACGACATAAAGCCGAATACATGTTGTAACTATTTTTCTACCTTATCAAGTAAAAATATGTAATTTCATAACTTTTGTTTCTAATTTCACATTTAATCATCTTCTAGAAAAAGTGCAGTGTTACAATTTACTCCGTGTTTGGGGCTAGCTGTAATATCTACAGGAGCAAGTAGTAACGACAAGAAAACAACAATAATATCCATGATAAATTATTTTTTGCTTATTTTTAAGAAAAATTTTATGATTCAAAAGTACGTAATTGTTCTCATAAATTCCCGCAAAATATAATCAATACAAATAAAATTCAAAGCGTCTCCTGCAACAGAAATTCTTATAATAAATTGAAGTAAACTACAATAAATACTAATAAAATATATAGTCTCTTGCAACATAATGTGAGATGTGCCCATATCTTACAATTCCACTAAATCTCTTAAACTTTTTCACTAAATCTCTTAAACTTTCACTATATACCAAATAATATTATTCTCTCATGCTATACAATTAGCCCTAGGTGTGATTTTTTTACCTTAATCAAGATAACTTTTCAAAATATGTCGCAACCACAAAAATTGGTACACATTATCAAAGATTAATAAATTTGAAATAAACTAAGATCTATACAATCTAAAATTACCAATAATGATAATGCAAACCAAGGTTTTAAGATCATTCAATTATATATTGCCTGTCAAAAACGACGCATCTGCACAATTCTGTTTACTGCATCGGCCTGCGGGACAGTAGCTATAAAATTATTGCAGGACGGTTTACATGTCCAATCAAGACAAAAAATATTTTAAGATCGTTTAAGATATTACAGAGAAATTGCTGTTTCTTCTTACCTCTGTTACAATAAGTCCCTAGACTCCTGGACAAATTTTGTTCAATTTAGGTGGAAACGATTTAATACTTGGTTCAATATATACGCTTCTGTGTGTTATATATGAAAATAATAAAGATTTTTAGTTTATTTTTTCATGTTTACATATTATTAAACAAATTTGAATAAAATTCCATCCAAACCATGAAAATATAGATTGTGCGGAAGTGAATACTAAAAAGTGAAAGAGTTTGAAACAAAAGAGGAAAGATATGAGAATGAGAATGTATAAGATGATAACTCAATGCAATCCAATCATTTCTGATCGTACTTTATGTATACAGATATCGTAAAACTTGTAGTTTTTTAGAACTGCAGGCTATCCCGAT